AGAGCCTGATTTATTTCCACGCTGCCGCTATTCGTTGCATTTCATTTTTTTCGATTTTCAGCGAATAGTTATAAGTAAAACTTTCAACACATACACAATAAATTGGCTGATAGCGTGGAGTGCCTACGCAACTTTGTTTCAGATCAAATTCATAGATGACCTAATGCCTGACCAGAAAGCCGGTTCGACGATTGTGGGTAACAAGGAAGGGATTTTCGAAGCAGCGGGTACAAATTCGTTTTTTGTTGGTGAATATTGTGCAGTGCGTATGCATTTATTAATTGAATTATTGCAGGATGCGGTTGGGATTATGACTGGGTTGGACCGATTCATTTGAATCGACCGGAGTTTTACTTATACATTAAGCACTTGTGCAATTCTGACTAGTTAGTTTCAGTGTTCTTATTGATTAGGAAAGCAAAGTCGTTTTTTTTTGCTCTCAAGGGAAATATTCATACTAAAACTGACTATATGCAGTGTCGAAGCGATCGAGATGTATCCGCCGGACATGAAGGTTTTCACTCCAAAAGTTATGGACTACTTTTATGATAATCCGATAGTTCTTGATTCGGATTGATTTGATCGTTACTGATCTGATTTCAGTTGCTTGAATGAAGCTCAAAATTGGCCAATAACTTTGAATAAATTGGTTTATTCTGATTGCTTTTGCACAATTTGAGATTTCTTGTTAACGCATTCATAAATGAATCTGTAACCTCCCTTCAAAAAGCGAGAAAGTGTCGGGTGCAGACCAAACACCACAACTGACGACGGCCTCCAAGTAAATCTGGTTAGAAGTTGTTCATAGTGATAGCTGATTTCTGGTAAATGATAGTTGTAATTAGTGACAATCGATAGAATACAACTGCAACAGGCTAATCATTTCATTGGCAGAAAACATTAACATTTTGTGAAGGCCGTCGTCACTTGTGGTGCATGGTCTGCACCCGACACTTTCTCGCTTTTTGAAGGGAGGGTACTCGTTTAGCTGATCAAACAGGCTTACTAAATTCTGTTTTGTCAATCAGTTGCGTTCACTTGTGGGCAAGGCTATTTGCAGGGTCACAGGGTCGTCCCGTTCGTACTTTTGCAAATATTTTGCGAACCCCCCCCCTTTAGGGGGTTTCTTGCAACCCACCTCCATCACCATCAGTCTATGAAGCTCTCCAAATACGACCCCCCCCCTCCTCATGGAACTTTCGCCAAACTCATCGAGACACTTGCCAAACACAACTCCTTTTTACGACCGCCGTTCACACTTTTCCCAGAGGTAGTTCACCTTGCTCCACCCCAGGATGCAAACCCCGCCTTCCCGAAATCGCAAGTGCGAACCCCTCCTTCGAACAGTGCGAACGAACGGATGGCCTTGGCTATTTGTCGTCAGAGAGTAATGATCGGTCACTTGGTCATGTTCGTTTCGTTTTTGCTCATTCTTCGAAGGTGCTTGAATTACTAAACGAACATGACCAAGTGACCAATACTCCTTGTTCTACAGAGGTAGGGCATAAATATGGTGACAAAGTAATTGTGGCCCAGTTTGAACCAGAAGGGTCGAACCGGGATACCAAGTCCAGCAGCGGTAGACCATATCTTCAAACAATTGTTAACATTTTTTATTCAAATGGCTGCCATGAACTTGGCAATTTTCTTGAAATGTACCCAAAAATTGACCTTTGCCCGCATGACATCCTTCAAACTTCATCTCATACTTTTGAAAAACAGCTGTTAGCGATCCATCAAACTGTGTTGTTTCGCGCACTTCTTCAGCTTCAACATCGGCCAAAATCATAATCCGCTACATTCAAATTGGAGGTTTGGCTGGCCAATCTTCGTGCACCCCAAAGTCGGACAAATGGCCTGTAGCTTTTACTTGTTTCTTTCTTATTTTTTAGTTTTTAGAGTTGACGTACCTTTTACGGTTGCAGAAGTAACCTGCACTGGCGCGAGTTTATAATTGCCATTTAATCTACACGGAAAATTCTGCTGGGCGAGTTTGTGGACGAGTTTCTCGTGGCTTCTATTTGAACTCTAGAAGTTGTCCTTAGGGCGTGCACCGTTGGGGGCAGAGCTTGGCTAAAAGTAGCTACAGTGGTGCCCGACCCGATGTGTGGGGCTTCTACCGAAAACCGATGGAAATACCGGGTTTTGCGCAGAAAGCTCAAATAAGATGGGGAATCATAGTACTGACAATTCGTATTGCCTGGCTACGCCGGGCTATCCTTCTTTTTGTGAGCCTGCCATTTCACACATTGTACAATACCGTTGCCTTATATCAACTCCTCCCCAAATTTGAATTTTTCTCTCTATCGCGAATTCAACACAGCATATATTTATTCTGCTTTCTCTACCAGTTCTTGAAGTTGTGGACTCTCTAAGGGCTTCTGAGAAGTGGAATGATGGCAAGAAAACGATGTGAAAAAATTGAACAGTACATGCCACATTTGGGAGACAATATTAGGTTGTCCCATAATTAGTGAATCACTTTACATTTATTGTTATTAAAAATCCAAGAAAAATGGTGAAGGCGTGAAACATGTTTTGCGAAGTAGCATCCACATTATCCTACCTGAGCAATTACTCAGCCCATTTACATGCTGCCTTCCGTGGCTGATATTTCAATTTTTCTGGAACCTATTTTTGAGCTCCCTTCTTAATCACTTCTGATTAGGATCTTTCAAACGCCCAACAACATAGAGAATCGACCAGCAGATAGGCGAGGGCACGCTCCCTCACTCCACGGTCTGCTTATAGTTCACTCTATCGAGAGGTTGGCTTTTTTAGTTGAAGATGACCCACACTCCAACTACCCCTCAACTGGCAATCTCAGTGCTGTACCCAGCGCCACTAAGCGTGAATATGGACGAACTAGCCGCCTTTTGCTAGAGCATGCCGACTTGTTAAAATGATGGAATGTAGACATCTACGTAGAGTTGTAACGATTTTAAAATATTTAATTTGTATCTTGTGTGCTTTGAGCTCGAAACAGCTCCGCACACGATCTGACATCATCATGTTCCTTCTGATCTCCCTTAGTTCCTTACAGTGATCATCCAGCTTATTCACCAGGGTTCTGGACTGCGTGAAGTGTACTAGCAAATCTCCGAGGAGCAGTAGCCCAGCGTGAACGATTCGGGAGTTCTGACAGCAAAAGCCAAACCTCATTCTAGTCCGACCCTTCAGAGATATTGGTGGAGCACGAGAGTGACCATGCGCTGGGAACCGCCGCCCAGTAATACTAGGGTCACTGAAGAAGATCAACATCTACAGCGTAATGGCGACGCGTTCAATTTGAAAGTAAAGCAAGACAAAGTCTGCTTTTTTCCTGAGGTCGTTCGACCCCACCTTGCGGAGAATATTCATAAAAAATTAGAGACTCTCAAGGCTAGCCGATCTTCCACTTCCTCTGTGTGGCCCTATCCTCGTGCCAACAAGAGGCAACTCAGTCTGACCTCTAGCGCTCTTCCCCAGGAGGAATTTTACGCTAAGTGACATGACCTCAAACTCGACTTCCGATCTTTCTTCGATCAATAGCTCCTGGAATTCTAGAGATAAGACAGCGACTAAATTTCCTGTATAGGCAATACATTGTAGATGACAGAGATGTATGTTTGGATGAGCAAGACTCCACATAAAAAGAAAAAAATTTGAATTCAAAAATACCCAAAGTGATTCACTAATTATGGGACAACCTAATATTTGCCGTTGATCAATCCCTTTTTGGGATGCGGCACGCATTCTACTTCCATTTGTACATTCGTAGTGGCGTTTGAATGCGATGTGGCCTATACAATGACTTGCGGGGGCCAGCCGATGTACAAGTCAGTGTTTTTATCCTCCCAGACAAGTCTGGTACCAATTAACCGACCCCGGAGGGATGGAAGGCTTGGTTGGCCCGGGCGACTCACGACCCAGGATTTGATCCCCGGACCGCTCGCGCCACTTGCCACTACACCACTTCCGCCCCTTTACCACTGCATTACTTCTCCGAAAGCAAGATAACTGCTTCATTTCAGTGTTTCTGCTTACTATGTTGGTTTAGGCTCATTCTGAAAACCAACGCCAAGTCGTATACCTCAAGAGGAACATAAAAAAGAACTCCTGTAATGGAACATTTATTAAAAACCACTGAACAGTCCACAACAAAAGATTAACTATTGCATTGTCCTCTGAAGATCACTACGTTCTTAAACTAAATATATGTAACACTCTATTTTGTACCCTCATATGAAGGATAGTTAATTCCACAACAATAAACCATTCAAAAATATTCAATGATTACGCATTAAACCCCTCAATCTCACAAAAATGACGACAAATGTAACGAAGTTTGACTCAAGAAAAGAATAAAGCCTAACTAGCGAACGGCAAAATCGAAGCATAGAATAGCAAGAGATTTTCACTCGAGATGCGAAGGCGACGAGAAATCGACTAATCCCTTCCCCTGGAAACAACTATGATACATCTGGAGCCAAATCCAAATAATGCAGGCCCGTTATGACATGAAATCCTTGGTGATGATTCGCGATAGGACCCGATCTGAGAACGAATCCTCGTTGAACTTCTCATCTCGCAGCTGATATATCTGAAAACAAATGGATCAAGCATTCTGTGTTGATCAGGGTCGTTTCGAAATGCGCCACGTATCCAACTTCCACTCAAAATTTTAGCGAGATTTCCTTTCGATTTGGCGTATGCAGTGGCTTACCAGACCTACCCAAATTGAGGCTTCTCAGAAAAGAAGCTAACAAATTTATTGATTTTACTGAAAACATTACAAATTCTAAGAATGAATACTTTTCCGAGAGGAAGGGGACCAATTGAGGGGATAATACGCTTTGGAAAGATCGATGTTGAAAGTGTTCTTGAGCGAACAGGATTTCTAGAATTTGTGGGATTTCCCGAAGACCGTAGCGTTTTTTACTGCTTACGGTAGTGTATGAGCTGAGTGGAAGGAGCAAGGTAGGGATAAACAAGGGAGAGAGTGACGGGCAGTGTAATTTTCGCGTGCGCCACAACACGGGGTAGGGTTTACGCAGGCTTATGCGAATAG